TAAATAATATAAAATAATATATGAAATTGTGATATAAAATAATTTATTTGATAATATAATAGTAATATTTAAATAGTAAATAAAATATATTAATAATAACATTTACATAAAAAGGGATTATAAATAATAAATGATAACAATATATAATAATAATATCAAAATATAATAATAATAATAATAATAATAATATAAAATCACTATTTGATAATAATAATAATAATAATAATAATAATAATAATTGTAAAATATATATGTATATTTAAAAAAAATTAGAAATAATAATTGAATTATAAAAATAAATTAAATTCAAGGGGGTGTAAATTCTAATTAACGAGTAAACATGGAGGTGTCTTTAGGAGGCTGGATTACGTGGGCGAGGGTGTATGGAAAATAAGGTAGGACTTGGCCTACGGTCGTCCGATCACGATCACGCGGAGGATAACGAGGGAGTATAATTATTGTGAGCCAGCGCGCACGGAATTGAAACGGATTACATTTTGTTTTTATTCATTTACATTGTTTTGTTGTTACAGAAAACTCCACTTATTCATCTTCCTCTCTCTCTCTCTCGTACACACAAACTCTTTCACTCTCTCTCACTTTAACCCTAATTCCTAAACCACCAGCGGCGGCGCTCTACCAAAACCCCAACACGAATCCGACCCCAAAAACCCCCTAAATCCCAAAAATAACAACAAATCAACCAAATAAAAACGCTAAGTTCAGTTACCCTTTCGCGATTTCGCTTGCTCTCTGCCTTTGAATGTTCTGGATTTAGTATTGATCCCTGCTCTCCTTTGCTTTTGCAGGTTGCGGTGGAGCTTGAAGGTGGTGTTGCGGCGGATCAACGGAGATTATGGTTTCAGATAATGAAATCTCAATCGTCCTTCTCTCGGATCTTCAACCAACAACAAGGTTATTTGCTCTTCGGTGTTCTTCACGCAAGCCCTTCTTCGTTCTTTTATTTTTCGTCTTCTTTCTCCCCTCCTCTCTGTATTAAGCTTTTTTCTCTGTATTTTTTGATTCCCCTTCTTCACTTTAATATCTTCAGTATGTATAAGTTTTTAGTTTTTAGGGTTTTTAGAATTTGCTGTTAGAATTTGATTATCGTAGATTTATTAATTAGAGACAATTAGGGATTTAGTGTTGTTGTTAATTGATGTGAATTGATTCAATTTGTTGTATAATTCCATATTTGATTTGTAATGTGAATTTCGGATTTGATAGATATAGATTTGATTTTTTTAGTGAATTTTTAGACACTTTTTGACGAAAAATGCATAAAATAAATTAAACATTATTATTAAAAATTGCCTAAAATAAAAAAACGAAAATAATATTTAAATAATAAAAAACATGATTTTTGGAAAGATTTGAATGTAACTTGAAATTGAAATGAAATTAACAAAAATAGAATAAAATAAATCATCAATCCAAATAATTAAAACCCAAAAATAAATCAAATTTTTGGACTTATAATTATTGTAACCAATTACATTGATTCTTTCCTAAAATAAATATTACTACCTAAAATACAAAAGATAACAAAATATTTTTAAATCTTTTTGTATTTTAGATTTTTTTGGTTATTTTTAGAATAAAAAGTGGGAAAAAAATTATTTTTTAAAAATTCATTAATTAAAAATACGAAATTTAATATTTAAATATTTAAAAAATAATTTTTTTAATGATTTTTATAAATGAAAATAAAATTAGTAACAATAAACAAAGAAATATAAATAATGTTAAAAAGTGCATTATGAGAGATTTGGACTCGCAACCTTATATTTGCAAGCTTGTTTCTTTACCAATTGTGTTATGTTATTTGTTTGAAATAAGAAGTCAATTGAAAGTATATGAAGACGAGAAAATATTTATTTATTCAAAAATACAAATAATCTGATATAGATCATTATATTTTTAAATAGGTTTCGAAGCGAATATTTTAAAAAACTCAGAATGTTTAATATAATTAAATCAAAGAAATTTTATATTTATAACACCCAAATTCAAAAATAAATTTGACGGTAACATTAAGACGGATAAATTTAGGGTACGGGAATACGTTGCTTTTGTAGAGAACAAGAAATATTGAAGCATATATTTTTATAGTGTAACAAGTTGTATGAGATATGGAAGTTTGTTCTCAAATGGCTCCACTAAGCTTACTAAGTGGGATGATGAATTGCAATGGGTGTTGGAAAAAAAAAGCAATGGCAAAGGGTGCGGCGGAAGTGCTCAAATGTGCTTTCACTGAAATCATTTATGAAGGGTGGAGTTTTAGGAACCAAAGCTGATTTGGTAATCCCCTAGATAGTAACACTATAGGCCCCAAAATTATTGATTATGTGATGTATAGATGTTGGATGAAATATAGGCTTAGGCATTATATTGCTAGTCTTATGATGTCGTAAGATCCTTGTTTGTTTTGCTTTTTGGTGGGTTGGATCATTTAGATCCCTGTGATTTGTATGATTTTTTGGTTTTTGAAATAAAGTATTATTCATTTTCAAAAAAAAATTATTATTTTTATAAGAAGGTTTTCATGAAAGTTTAAAATCAACACATGTTATATCAATTTTAAACGATAAAAAATTAAAATATATTATATGAAATTGAGAAACAAATTCACAGATTTTTAACTAATTTAATAGTAGAATTATTTTGTACTAATTGTTTGCAGGATCTAAAATGTATTAATTGTAAGATTTACTTTGGTGGTTTAAAGGATAGTACCAAATAAGGTCTAAAGGGTTTAACTTCTTTTGAAGGGGGTCAACTTCCTTTCAGATATTTAGGAGTATCTCTCACCAGTAAAAAGCTCAACATAAACCATTACCTGCCTTTGATCGATAAAATTGTTTATAGGATCAGACATTGGACCTCAAGATTACTTAGATATGCTGGAAGGATCCAATTAGTCAAAAGCATTTCTTTTACTATAGCTCATTATTAGATGCAGTGCCTTTCTCTCCCTAACCCGTGATTCATAATATCGATGTTATGTGTATGTCTTTTATTTGGAGTGGCAGCCAAGATATTAAGAGGAAAAGTCCTGTGGTTTGGAAAACCGTCTATAGTCCCAGGTGCCAAGGAGGCTTGAACACCATCAGCTTGACTGCTTGGAACAAAGTTACTATGTTAAAATGTTTATGGAACCCGTGCAGAAAATCTGATAACCTCTGAATTAAATGGGTTCACATGTATTATATGAAAGTCAGTAATGTGATGGATGTGATAGGAGGAAAAAATTGGTCTTGGGTGAATAATAGCATCCTGAACCACAGAGTCATAACAAACCAGTTTCCTCAAGTTTGGCTTAAATTGACAAACAATAGGAAATTCTCCATGAATGAGGTGTATAGAGTTTTGATTGATGATACCTCTCGCATGTCTTGGAGCTTCTTGATTAGCAAAATTTATGCTAGGTCTAGAGTTGTATTGAATTTGTGACTTGCTTGCCATGGTAAGATGGCAACCAATGATAGGTTAAGAAGATTTGGGTTGATTCAGGAAAGTATTTGCATTTTATGCAAGACTGCGGATGAAACTGTGTCATCTGTTCTTTGATTGTAGGGTCACAGCCCTGATCTGGAATTAGTTGGCTGGAAATCGTGCATGAACCCAAAGCTTGGGCAAAAGAGATTAAGTGGATCATAGACTACATTTAAAAGATAAGTTGGAATGGAAGCATGCTAAAGCTTGCTTTTACATAAACTTTGTATGGCATTTGGACTTATAGAAATGAAGAGGTTTTTAAAAAGATAGGTCACAAGAATAAAGCTGATAGCATTATAGATAAAATTGTGTATAGAGAATGGCATAATATTAAGCTTAGGAAGCATGTAGCTAAGTTGATGCTCTAGTTTTCATTCGTCTTTTTTGTCTTTCTTGATTTGTCTTTCTTGATGGTTGAATCCTAACGATCGCCTTGTACCTTGTGTTTTTTAAATTAGTATATATTTCTTTTAATTAAAAAAAATATATTTTGTACGTCTAATAAACAGTTCTTTATTTAAGGGAAGTTTGCTTTAAGTATAACTATTTTTTAAATATTATAATACTTAAAAAATAATTATACAAGTTTGAAGAAAATTTATTTATAGATATAAATATTTTAAAAAATAAAATAACATTTAACAATTTCTATAGTTTTATTTTCACGTAAGAAGGTGAAAAGCTATTAATTTTTCATGCAATCAATAAAATTCTTTTGATTCAAAAAAACAAAGCAACTAATTTTTTTAAAATTATAAAATAATAATAACGGGGAGTCAAACTTATTTTTATTTTCAGATAACTTATTCTTAAAATTCACTTTTAAATCCTTGAACCAAACTCCTTTAGAAAAGTTATTTTAGCAACACATCCTCTTGTTACATAACCATGATATGCATGTCATTGGTCTCAAGAGAAAGCCGATCCATAGCCGCGCCACCTTCATTATCAGCGGCAACTCTCTTTAATCCTTTTCCAACCTCTTCAATAATAGCTTTTCTTGACTGTCCAGATATACTCTGACTAACCATTATAAAGGGGTTCTAACTAACACAGGACTAAAGCACCAAATAATATTCACAACATACAAACACTTCATTGTAATTAAGGTTTGAAAAGATGTGAGATGAATCTAGAGGAAAAAAATGAAATGAACTACTAAAATCAGAGGCGTAAATTCAGTAAGACATAGGTAAAAGAAGTTAATAAGAGTTGCTTATAATTAATCGAAGAAAACAAGATGGATGGAGCTGGCTCCAGAGACATGAACACTCATCAAGAACCGATTGTAATCTATGAGGTCTTCAGGCGATACAAGTTTCTCATCTATGATACAAATTGTATTCATATAGTGAAAACTGAAAAACAAGCATGATGGTATAAAGGGGGGAAATACATAAGGATTGTCGAAGACAGGGTAAAGAAAAAGCATAAAAATAACAGGACTAAATTAACTAGAAATACGACGGCTACAGCATTTTGTTCGGAGAGTAATTATGCCTCTAGAGTGTGAAAGATGCTAACTCCTCGGGTGTCACAGGATTATGCAGCTGCATTTACAAGGTAATATCAAGTTAGGTAATCTCAACAAGCACAAAAATCAAAATGATGCAAACATAAGTTTTTTTGTTCCATCAAGACTTGTTCCATTTTACTTTACTTTGAATGGTTTAACCGAATCAAAAGCAAATACATCAAGAAGGGACGACACACAGGTTACAGGTTACCTAGTTCCTGCTTTCTAACATGCAAGCAATTGAAATTTCTAACCAAAGAAAGACAATAGAATTGATAATTATCAGCCAAGCACACTCCAATCCGGATTATGAAGAACTGAGAGAGAATAGAGAAACTGCTTCTTACTTACAAACACAACATCCTCCAAGATGCATAATCCCCTGGCCCTCAACAGTAACATGACTTTAACAAAGTTACAACTAAACAAGATTTAGCCAAACACTAAATATATTCCTAGTGACAATATGACTGGTGCACGAAATATTCACCTTTGAGTAGCAGTGAACGTAACAGACAAATTCATGTGCACTGAACACTTGCTAAGAAAAAAAGGCAAAGTTGAGAATTCATCTGTTTGTTTATTTGTTTAAAAACTACAATAAAACTCGATTCTAATTAACATGTCTATTAAATAACTCACAATCATACTCATTTCCAATAAAATTGAGTTAAGAGTAAGTTCAACTTCTATAAAAGTGTTCTTTTTCTTCATTTTGAAAGTGAGTTGTTTATGGTTGAATTGACTTTAGTTAAAAGTGAGCTTAAGATAAATTGATTTATGTTTAGATATTCATCATTAAAAGTGACTTAACTTAAACTATAACTCTGACTGTAAAAATCATGTTTGAAGGCAAAAAATACAAATCCTAGATCAAGTTAAAATAACTAGAAATCTATGAAGCACAGACACGGATGCGGACACAGGAGAAACTGACACGTTGACACACAACAACAACAACAACAACAACTAAGCCTTATTCCACTAATAAGTGGAGTCAGCTACCTGAATCAACTTTTGCCATAATGTTCTATAAAGAACCATGCTTCTGTCCAAATAATTTATCTCGACATCTTTCTTAATAACTTCTCTTAGTCTTTTAAGGTCTTCCAATTCCTCTAATTGTTTGCCTTAATAATTTTAAAAAAATGAATAAAAAAAATGTAATCACGAGTGTCGGTGTTCGACATTGACACAGACAAGGACACAATGATGCTACAGAGCTAGGAACTCCCTCCCAAACACTCAAAACTAATTTGAAGTCTTCACAATCACTTTTGGTTCTCTCAAAGATGAATCCTAACACGCACATGTTTCAACTCCCAGGTAACAATCATAAATGAAGTATGAAATAATGGAACTGAAATACAGAAGAAACAGTGAGAAACAACTTACAGCTTCAGCAACAGTGATCCAATGAAAAGCACGGAAGAAATCATCATTCTGCGAAGGAACACAGTCATGATTCCAATAAGTAATATGCTTAAACCTAGCCAAAGTCTCCCACGAATCAGAACTATCAACCGATTTACTCGACGAATTCTTCTTTCCCAAAACAAAACCTACAGAAAATCAAAAACATCGTAATCATATTCAGAAAGAAGGCTTTAATGGAAAGAACGAGAGAAGACTATATACGAACCGGAGTAGTTGTTTGGAAGTTGAAGTGAGGTTCCTTCGAGTAACCTTCCTCTAAAATGCGATTGCTGTAACTGTAAACCGTCTTCTCCGACGACGCCGCTGGGTTTAGGTTTGAAATAGTTAGAAACTTCGGTGGGGCCGTCGTGCTTGATGCAGCAAGGGAGGAGATGAACGCGGCCGCTCAGATTCTCGACACCGTCTCGGTTTAGATCTATCTTCGTCGCCCCGCCCTTTTCCATCTCTCTCTCGCCGCCGCGCTACTAATTTCCCTTCTTCCCCAATTATTTCTAAAATCTCTTTTTAATTTGTTTAATGACGTGTTTTTTCTTGGAGGGAAAAATTTTAAGAAATAGAAAACGAAAACAATATTTTCAAATTATTTTATATTCTAAATAACACCATATTTAATATTAAATTATGAATATTCCGCTAAATCATATTGATATTTTAAAATAAATTGGATGATTTAACAGAGTGATAATTTTTTATTGGACGATCATATAAAATTCAATAGATGTCCATTAAACTCTAAAAAATATATGTAAAGCAACACATTGATTTCTTAAAATACATATAACACTCTAATTTATGCATGCAAACAAATGTTCTCGGTCTATTGGTAGATAGGAGGAAAACATGCATGCATATATTTGATTAAGGTTTTCACAATGGTTGTATTACGACTGAGAGTTTTATTATGGAACAGGTAACTCTCAAAGCCGCTTCAAATAAAGTGGAGAAGCATGAAAAAGCGTGTGCTAACAATCGACGTGTTTTCATATCATTTATCTTTGACATTTTTGATTTTTTAACACCAGAAGCATTGAATTTTTACAAAAAATGTAAAGGCTCATACAAAGCAATGAATCTTTGCCAAATATTAAAACTGATATTATTTTAAAACTGGTGGTGTATTTAGAAGGTATCTTGTGTCGAAAGTCATCTTTCTCCGAAGAAGATCAACCCTTAAATAGAAGTAGGCTTTGATGCCATTTATTGAGCTTGAGACTTCACATACAAGAGAGAGTGAATTGTGTGGTTAGTAAAAATGTGATTTTGAACAACTTTGTGAAATAAAATCTGAGTTTAAAATTATTTTAGAAAACTTAACATGGGAAAAATAAAAAGCAATAATTAAAGGAGTTAAGGGAAAAGAAAAACACCAAAAATTATAGAGGTTCAGTCAAATCAAAAAGACATACTCCTCTTCTCAATAATTGATCTTATGAGTTTCCAATAATACTTTGAGAGCTTTTAGTATGAAAGACTCACGAAACCTCTTATACAAGGAAATGATGGTTGATCTTCAACCAAACACTACAAGACGATGAATGTAAGCGCTTGTGTCTTTTTTTCAGAATAAAATCAGGAGTGAAGTGGCCAATCTTCCTTCATAATGGTGAATTTAAGTGGTTAGTCTTATTTCCACAAACAAGGATATTGGAGTGGTTATTTTTCAAGTTTCTAAACCTTTGAGCTTAAAATCTTGGTTTTACAAAGGATAACCAATAACCTGTGAGATTTTAACATCGGGATGATCTCAAACCTATGAAGCTTTTAATATCAAGTTGTACTTCAACCTATCTTGGTTTTAACATCGGACTGACCAAAAACCTAGGAGATTTTATCACAGACTGATCTCCAACCTAAACTAGGACTGAACCACAAAATCCCAAACAAAAGCTTTTTACGTGTTTAGTTTCTAACCCAGATAAATACTTAAATAGATAATATTCAACCAATGTGTATACAAAAGATTCCCTTTGTGAACTTTACAATTCTACCATTTATAGAATTACACAAGTATTCTCACTCATAAAAGGACTTTTCTCACAAAAAAAAATTAAGCTAAAACATTAGTAATAGAAAGTAAGATAAAACTTTATAGAGTGTGTGTGTGTGTGTGTGTGTGTGTGTGTGTGTGTGTGCGTGCGTGCGTGTGTGTGTGTGTGTGTGTGTGTGTGTGTGTGTGTGTGTGTGTGTGTGTGTGTGTGTGTGTGTGTGAGAGAGAGAGAGAGAGAGAGAGAGAGAGAGAGAGAGAGAGAGAGAGAGAGAGAGAGATGTATCAAAACACGATTCTGGTTGATTTGAAATGAGAAATGGAACCTCTATTTATAGGTTTGAGGTTGGCTCAAAAAAGAATTTGAAATTAATGCTTTTTACTATTATCTAATCGATTAGAACATATTCATAATTGATTAAATAGTTAAAATAATCGTTTGTAAGTTCTCAAAAAGGAAGGTCAAGATATTTAGCCGTTGCACATAATCAAGGTGCTTTCAAAATAGCTTAGGCCTTAAATTTGCGCATTTCTAACTAATTAGAAAAGTCAAAAAATTTCTTATAACTATTTTGACTGCTCCTAATTCATCTGATATAATTTCCATATGTTTTTTTTTTAAATAATCTTTTGGTAAAGTATTTTGAAAATAGTTTGGTGTGTATGCATGCACACACGTACTTTAGTCATGATTTTTTTGATAAAGTCCTTTTACCTTACAGTCATTCACTCACTACTAAATTAAGAGATTGCCCCATTGCTTCAAGGCCTTGCCAGATACTTCTCTTTTTGTTGACACATGCTTGAGTAGTTCGAGATGAGGCTTTTAGTTGTATTCCATTTGGTTGTCGTCATCGAATAGTCAAGCTTATCAAACTCTAAAGATAAGGTTTGTATATTTATCCTCTTAATCTTTCATGCTTGACTTAGCATAATACATTAGTTATCATCATCAAAAGTAGATGTCTTTGTTAATAACATATCACCTTCAAAACAAGGTTCATCATCTTCCATGTAAAAAAAAACATTAAATCAGAGTCATTTAATGTTATGGAGAATATCCAATTTGTGTGGATGAAATCGAGGACTACTTTACATTATTTGGTGGACTATGTGTTCAATTCAGCAATGTGGCCTAGGGATAGCTTTTGGATTATATCAACCATATTACAAGGGATGTGCGTGTTGTTAAAGAGTTGGTTTTTTTATGTCGTGAATCATTTGAATATGCATGATATTGGCAATTCTTTACAGTGGTGTGGAAATTTTGGGTGTTGGATAACTTATGTTCTAAAAGTTATTTGTTAATTGAGGAAATTAAGATAGAATAAAATAAACTGAGAGAGAGAAGTATTATTGGAATGAAATCGTATGTATGTTATAAACATGTGTGACATCATTTATATAGGATCATACCGCTAGTTAACTAACGTCTAATTAGTAACCACGTACAAAGTTAGCAATGACCACATATATAACTAGCATTAACCACATGTATACCTAGTAATAAACACATGAAAAACCAATATTAACCACGTGTGAAGTTAATTATAATTGTATAATTACATAATAAATAACTTCTAACTTCTAAAATTGAATTACTTACCAATAACCTTCTTAATTGAGATTTCTTAAGTTCATCATTTCCATTAATTCATTGAGGACTTCAAATCTTGCTTTCTTCAAGGGTTTTGTTAGAATATCAGTCAATTGTAGTTCAATCTTGCAATACTCAACCTTTAATCTTTCTTTACCAACTTCATCTCTAAGAAAATGATACTTTATTTCTATGTGTTTGTTCTTACCATGTCTCATAATATTATTTTCCTTATCAATGGCTTATTGATTGTCCACTAGAAGCTTGATTTGCACACAATTGCTCACTTTCAATGTAATCCCCCAAATTTTTATTTAATTATTTTAATTGAGTTTAAAACGCTTTATTTTATTTTATTTGAGTGTTAGAGTGTTTTATTCGATTTAATTAGTGTTTTTGAGAATTATTGGAGTGTTGGTAGAATTATTTGAATTTTTATTAATTTTTAAATGATAGAATTAATAGAAAAATGTGAGATAACTGGTTTTGGGGAGGAAATTAGAAATAAAGTGAATATTAAGGAGGAAGTGAGATTAGTGAGAAATAAGGAGAATAAAGAGAATTAATAAAATGAAATTAGGTTTATACTTAAATAGAGGTGTTGGGAGATATTTGTTTATGTACGTGTTTTGGGTGGAAAAGAGACAGAATAAAGAGAAACCTAGAAGAAGCTTTTGGAAGGAGTAGAGAGAAGATCCCATAGCCAAACTTCATCTTTACTACAAATTTGAGGTAAGGGAGTGAAAATTATTCATGTAAGTGAGGGTCCATTACCCTACTTTCTGTAAGTACGAAGTGCGCCTAAGAGGGGGGTGAATTAGGTACTTTAAAAATTCTAGTTTTTAGTGATGATGGTTCTTATTTTTATGGTTAAAAGTGAGTTTAGGAAAGCTTAAAAATGCAGAAAAATAAAGAGACACGGACGATATATCCTGGTTCCCCTCACAGTCCGAGAGTACTCTAGTCCCCTTTCAACATGAAAGAGATTTCTTTATTGTGGCAAACTTAAACAAGAACTACCAAATAACCAAGAACAATCCTCTTGGACCAAGAGCAATCCTCTCGGATTTTCACTAATTTATCTATGAGAACAATCCTCTCAATGTAACTACACTTGTATCCAACAACTTTGGAAAGACAAGATTTCAAAAAACACTTAAACTTATTTCCAACAATCCTGGAAAAATAAGTAAGTAAATATCAATTTTTGAGTTTGAGTGAGTAGAGTAATATTGATCACTTAGAGTGATTTAACAATGTATGATCTTCTCTTCCAATAATATTATTGTACAATGACTCAAGATATATTTTCTGAAAGTTTTCTGTTTGTTAATGTATGAAAATGTGCAGAAAACTTATGCATGAAAGTGAAGAAATGCTTGAGTTTGTATTTTGAAATTTCAAAAATATTTATAGAAGAGGTGTTGAAATAGATTTTGAAATTGAATATTTATATGTTCATAACACCCTTTTGAAACAACATGAAGTTCTGAAAATGTATCATGAACAAATGCCAAGTTTGAGTGAAAAGTTTTAATGAAAAGGCATGATGAACAGGTATGTACTAAGCTGCTGTTTTTCAAAATCGTGCAGCATGCAATCGATTGCACCCTTTGTGTAAATTGATTGCACAAGGTTTCAACAGCTATTTTTTCAAAAATTTTAAGAGTGCAATCAATTGCACTATCAATGCAAATCGATTGCATGCAAAGTCAGTAGCAAAAAGTAAGTGAGTGCAATCGATTGCACTAGTAATGTAAATCGATTGCACTGAGAAACAGAAGAAAATGTTTTAAAAATTTAAGTATGCAATCGATTGCACAAGCAATGTAAATCGATTGCACAGAGAAATAGAAGCAAAA